AAAGATTACTTTTCATTGGGGAAAAAGGGCATAGATAGAAATAGTGGAATACCTTCCCTGCTGGACTGGTCCAAATTGGACTAGGGCTCTGACTCTTCCCGCTGGGCTGGTCCATGCAGGAGCAGGGCTCCGACTCTCCTTGCTGGCCCAGTCCAAACCAAATTCTTTTTTGGTGTGACTCTCAGGGAGCACATCCTGGACTGGCTTTCGGGGCACATATCACTTCCTTTCTTTTCCAGATCATCCATATTGATTTTCATTACTGACTTTCTAAAGACCATTTCTGTGCAAGGAAGTATAACAAGCATTTGGCTAATGTTATTAGTATTTGAGCTTGAGACAGTGAGGTAGAGGAGTGGCCTCAAAATGCTTGTTGTAGAAGAGCTATTTTCATCAGCACAGTTTCTAGCTAAAGTGCAAAAATACCTCCAAGGGTTCTGTTCAGTTTTATTGTTTACTGTTTACTTGCCAGTGGCAAACATTATGTTCTCCACTGAACTGAAATGTTTTCTTTTCTTGCTAAAGCCCAGTTAAAACGGTGAACTGGGGGTGGACTGAATCCCACAGTACAACAGTGGCACAGATACCGCCATGTAAGCGAGGAGCCGCCCTGGTCAGATCCAGCTTAGAGGCTCCAGACGCACCTCCGTCTTGTGACTATTAATCATCACCCTGGAGCCTTGACCTACATCCCTCTGTAATCTGAGAGATTGTCGAAGAAGAAACAGCAGGGACACATGCGGTAAGAAACATGATGGGCCAACCTAGACTACCTCTTAAAAATGAATTCACCATTACACACTGCGCATTTATGTTTGTCTTGCGGGGGGCATCTGTGAGAGGCAGAAAAAGAGCAGCAAGGATGTGGAGTATAGGCCTCGTACTCCTTAAACACAACAGGAACAGAACCACACATTCTCTAACAGAGGCACGTGGACTGAGGTGTAGCATTGGCCAAGCAGTGGTCAGTGATGTCCTGTTAATCCTGTGGAGCTGCTGTTACTCTTACTGGGTTGCACTCTTAACCCCAGGCTTGGTGGCAGCACTGAAACCAAGCTGAAGAAACTGTTACTACTGAGTTGTTAATAGTCTCATTTTCACTCCTGGTAGGATTCATGCTAGAACCCCTCTCCCAGTGACTTTCCACAGATTTATTTTCCTAATGAACAACCAGTGAGATTAGGAGTCATAGGTTAAATGGAAGGCTAAATTAAAAGAGGTTTTCAGTGCTGTTGATGTTTGGAGTTTATTTGTTGCTTTTCAACTGCCACAGTGAGGTAATAAAGTGCTTCATTATCAAATCACTGCTCATCCCCCTTGACATTATCGGTGACACACACTGCTGAGGTCAGACATGTCCTCTATCGATTTTTAACCTTTGCTCACAAGTATCAAGGCACGGACAGTAAGAGATGTGCCTGGATTTTAAGAGATCCAACAAACAGCAATGATGTTCCACTTCACACGTGTGCACTGAGGAGGAGTTGGCCCATTCTCCTGCTGTTATGGTACAGTAATTCTCAGAGCACAGGGTCCAGATCAGGCTGAGTCAGACTCTGACCTTTCTCACTGATGTGACTGGGACTGTGTCCTGCTGAACACTGAGCTGTGGAGTGTGGCTACACTCCCTCACTCCCTCATTCTTGTGAATGAATGTGAGTGGAGATACAGTTCACACTGCTAGGGCCCCCTTGTCCCCTGTCTAAAAAAAAAGCATCTGCGTGGAGAGGATTAAATATTCAGAGAAATGGGTTTAACAAAAATCATACAGTATTCTGGTAATCATTGTGGAACAAGAGCTGCCAAGTCTTACATAAGGACCTGGAGCAAAATCATTTTTTTCAAACTAGTAAGCCCCAGGTCAATATTAAAAGGCTGCTGCATTCCAGAGCTGCAACCATTGCAGTGCTTGACTCTTAATATTCTATTGCTATCTTTTTTTAGATAAAAGCAGTAGTGAAGATCAGCCCCTAACTCTTACTACACAAGAAGTAAGCAGACAGAACACTGTGCCTGCTTTTTCATTCTTAATCTTCATATCAATTCAACTGTGGATGTTGAAAAATAAAGTAAACAAAGTAAGAGAAACCAAGGGGAACAAGAAATGATCTGGATATACTAAATGCTTTTTTCCCCCTTTCTAATGGATTTTGGCTTTTTAAAACTAAATTACTGGCATAAATGCAGTAAGGCAAGACTTTAAAATCAGAATGCCAGAAATGCTTTTGTTTTTTTAATGATTAAGATAAACTACAAAACCAAGCAAGTTGTATCTAACCCAAAAAAGTAAAGCATTGATTATTTGTCAAAAATGAACTGATCTGTCCAAAAGATCATCAAAGCACACATTCTAAGTGTTTCTTTTTTACCTACAGCTTTTCAGAGCCACAGTGATCTGGCTCCATCTTAGATTACTGAAATAAAAAGCAATGGTTATTTTAAACACATTTCCTTTAATATTCTGGAAATCAGGGAAAAGAAAAACAAGACCCCAGTTGAATTTATAATAAAAAGCAGAAATATGCATTCAATTTTAAAATAAAAAAAATAAACAACACTCCAAATCACAAGAGATAATAGATTAACCAGGAGAACTGGCTTCATTATGTGAAAATACAAAAATCTATCTCATGAAGGATATTGGTAATTTGTTTTGTGGATTAACTTTGAAAATCCAAAATGTGAGTCATTTAAGGTTGAGCTGAGGGTTATACTCAGGATTTTGTTCAGCTTGTTCACCTTTTAAAAGGTTAAGCACACATCTCAAGGTCATATTTATGAATTTTTACACTATACGCAAGTGCTTTTGGACCAAATGTAATTTGCTCAATCTGTCCAAAAACATTTTGCTCTCAGGTCCGGTATACAAGTATACAACTTCTCTTTCAGGATAGACAACTAATTCATAGAAACCCAGTTACCTGCTGATATTACTGTTGGTTTCAACAGTTTACCCTGAACTGGAAATCATCAGCTGTGAGGACAGAACGCTGTCAGAATCACTGCTCATACAACTGCAAAAGCGACAGCGTCCCAGGTCTCAACAATCACCAAAGAGCAGAGAGCCAGTAGACAATACATCTACACAAGACTGCCAGATGCTGTCAGACTGTTAGAACCTCACAATTTTAAAGTTCATGCAAGCTATCTCAGACATCTAGGCTGGGCAATGGCATCAATGTGGGAGAAGGTTATCATCCACCTGCAATGGTTCCTTCGAGCTCTGTATTAATCATTGCTCGCCTTTTAACATAATATAGTCCTTAGCCTCCAGAAGTCCTACAAGCCAGGAACTAAAATAATGATCAAATAATTTAACAGAATAATTAGAAAATCCCCTTCTTATTAAAAGAAATAGTTATGGCCATAAGCATATAAATTGTTAGTATTCTGGCTGTTATATAACCTGTTATCTTCTTGTATGCTGCTGTTTCAAAATTATTTACCCGATACTGAATTACCGAATTTGTGTTATGGAGTTGAGGGCAGACTGACTGAAATAGCGTAATGACTGTAAATGACTGGCCTCTTGAGTTCAGAGAACAGAACAGTGGTTAAAACCAGGTGTGAAAAGCACATGGTCCTACTCCCCATCAATAGATGGCACAGGAGGAGTTTAGTTAAGCTGACCTTAAACTTGTCATTATGGTCTCATGTTACAAAGACTTCCATTGAGCACCTAAATGTTTCACTGTTTTCCATTTCACAGATTTGATTTTCTGAATGGGATGTCCAGATCTATCATGTGCTTTAGGTCAACCTCCAGACGAGGAATATACCTTTCCCTTAACCAGCAGTGTGCCTGGGCACCCTGATTCTAAAGCATATTGAGGGAACTGGGCATGCCTCTAAGAGAAAAAGCATTCCGTCCTGCAGGCCCAGCTCATTCACCTCATCCTCACAGGTATGGGGCATCCCCATCATGCCATCCTCACCTCTACCCATCACTAACCTGCAGACAGATGGCAAAGGAAGCAAAAGATCAACACGCTTGTACACGTCACATGGTCCGAGGTGAAGGAAGCTCCTCACAAAAGCTTTCCGAGAGTTGATACAGCCTATGTTCTTATCCAGATAAAAGGAAAGCAAAGAGGTCTTTGACAGAACAAAAACCACAGAATTTCAATCTAGATAAATTATGCTCAAGCTTTACAATTCACTTGTAAAACCTCACTTTGAGTATTTTGTTCAATAGGTAGTCACCAGACCACACAAAGGACATTAAAGCCTTAGAGGTCAAATGAGCAAAATGATGCTTGATCTCAGGGGACCATTATATATAGACATGTTTGACAGATCTTTTCAATCTAGAAAAAAGGAGACTGAAAAGAGGTCTGATCTAAGCATACTGTTGTAGCTGTCTAGAACAGGTTTGAAGTTGAAAATCTGGGTACTTTAAAGAAAAAGCTGGAGTTGTAGATTCACCTTGCTGCTAAACTATCAAATAAACCCGATGGGACAAATGGTTCAAATACACATTTGTTATTTTCCACAAAAAAAGCAAATTGCAAAACTCAGAACAGTTTTTACATAGATCAATTGGTTATGTTATCTTCTCTTAAAATGCAGTGAGGCTCGCTCTCAAGAGATTAGCAGTGCATCTTCAGCAGATATCACTCTTATAACAAGAATGCAGTTCTGTACTCGGGCAGTTTAGCAATGTTAAGGAAGGAGAATAACCAAAGTGAATAAAACCATTAATGTCAAAACTTCAAGTTTGCTGCTAATTGGAAAAACGCATATAAAGTAAAACACCCCAAAAATGATATATGACAGGTGTGACAGACTCCAATGGACCAAATCCATATGAAAAAAAAAAGAGCAGTATACCCAATTTTAAACCACATGACTGATACAGTACAGATTTGCAGTAGCAAACCTTTATTCAAGAGGTGCTGGAAGTGAAACAAAACATATGCAACATAAAACAGCCCTGAAACAGTAAACAGTAAACAGTTCTGAACTGAAACACCTTCCCAACAAAAATTTCCAGACCAAAATTTCCAAGAATAATTTTATTGTAAGGCAATCCCCTGAGTACCGGCAGTAGTCAATAGGGGCCCACCAACACAGGCTTTTAGGTGTTCAAAGGAGTTAAAAAAAAGGCTTGTGAAATTTGTACCACATCTCTGCTTTCACCTCACTGAAATCCAGTTCAGAGAGTGTGCTGGGAACAACCTAGGATTGTAACAAACAAAAAAAAAAAGTCCCCTGACTACAATTTTTATACAGCTTATACTTGAGAAACACAGTCCTTTGCTCAGACTCCATGGTACGGCGCTGTGGGCACGCTACAGTAAGGTCATGCGCTACCAAATTATCTAGAAGTGTGGGTTTGTCATCCCAACTCCCTGGCACTCGATTATATGAGTCTCATTGGTAGAGTTCTGATCTTCTGCCTTGGTGATGGTAAATTTGGCCTGAAAAAAACAACAACAACAACAAAACACTTAAATAACACCAAAGGGAGACAAAAATCCTTCCCATTTCAGCATAAGAAATATTTCCACACCCGGAAGGTTCAAATGAAACTTGTTTCTAGACTTCACAAGGGTCATGGTGCACTACTCAGCAGCAAAGTCTGGAAATAGGGGCACATGTTCCTCTTGAAAATGACAAGATGTGTCAGAAGGGGTCATTTATGCTCAATACGATCAATGTATCCACACCTGTGAACATGGATGGGAGGACATGGTGCACTGTGCCCATTTCTCCACCCTAGGCCAGAGTGCAAACCTTTTCCAAAAATGTAATTATTTAAAGATACTTGGTTTAATACAGATGCTTAGTTTTCAGGGCCCACTAAGTGGAGATGAACAGCAGAAATGTTCACTCCTGTCTTTTAGACATGAAAAGTGGATACTATCTGGATGCTAGTCTGTCTACCCCCTAATAAGACTCACTGTGGTCCCCTCTCAAGACTCAGGTAAAGCTGTAATTTCAAGAATGAGCCCTGCACATGGATTAGAAAAACTGGTAGCATTAGACAGACAAATGCTGGGAAAACACCATGGCAACCACACAGGACAGACAACTCAAGCACAAACAGGTATGTGATGTTTTGGAGCTGGTACAAACTCTGCTGGGAATCCCAGGTGAAAGTGTTGCCATGTGGTCAGGCTATACGGTAGTTTATTTTGGCCACAGTTAGGAAACCTCTTGCCCACCTTAGTCAGCTGCTCGGCAACATGTATGGCAGTGCGTGTGTGCAGGGTAACAGGTCCAGTTCTAACCCTGGAGGTGCCATTTGCCAATGCCATGAAGACAATAAGCTGCCAGAGGAGACAAGACAAAATCAGTCATGGATCTTCAAATACAAATCCCCTTTAGAAACAAAAAGTTTGAGTTTGATCTGACAATGGTAACAAAAAACAGGCCAGAGAAATTCAATACAGGGGTCTTTTTTTCTTCAGTTGTATTGAAAAGGAAAACTTCTCAGGTTTGATTCTATTAGTGAGATAATTCCTAAACAAAAAGTGTTATTGGACCATTTAGAAGACAATTTATGCTGGCAGACTGTCTTAGCACTGTGCCAAAATGTAAATTGGAATTTGAAACATGGATTTTAAAATACCTACTTCCTAAAAGGGTGACAACAGAAGACTTAAGTCTTTTTACACCAAAGGATACTGTAACAAATTGAAAACTGAGTAAGAAGATGCAGGGAAAAACTGAACTTCCATGCTGCTCGTGAGCTAAGAGCAAGCACTGCCCTGTGGACTCATCCTGGCACCACCTCCCCTCATGCTGTTCATGTCTCGCGAGGTGAGAACAGGACCAGTTGGCCAACACCTGTCAACACTCCTCACCTGGTCCTGCAGGAACTCGTCCACACAGCCATTGTGCCGGACGTTCCTCAGGAGCATCTCTGCTGCCTCAATCCCAACCTTGTCTGCATAAACGCCTAGGCACAACACAGAGGGGAAAAAGAAGCAGTCAATTCCACTCCATGTTTCAAAAGAAATCCAAATCCTTTCTTTAATTCATGGAATGCACAGAGCTACAAGTTATAGCAAAGCTGCCAACAACTAATAGGCTTCAGTGGGTGTTGTAGCAGCCCAGGGGCATGTTCCCCCAGAGTCGTGCACCTGTAGCCTGTCAGTTCAGCATACAGCACTAGAATGAAACCAATTATCTGAAGACAGGTGCTCATCTTTTACAAGCAAAAAAAACATAAGGGTTCATAAAAGAACATAAAAAGCTCATAAGGCTAGACTTGTCCAATTTAAGTCATTTGGCAGTTAACTGTTCAAAGGATCACATCCAGATGTTTCTTGAAAGTAGCTGGTTTTTAGCTACAACATGGCTGAGTAACTTGTTCCACGTTCCCACATCCCTTCTGGGTAAAGAAGCACCTCCTGTTCTTCAGGCTAGGAGGACTGAAAAATCCATAAACCCCTTCCTCATACACCCCAACTGTACTGACAAATAAAGGCCTATTATCAAAATAAAATGAGAAATTAAGAATTCACATGCAAACAAAGCTAACACAGGTGATAAAACATTCCTAAAAGTGCCTTAAGGCTAGATTTGAAAACACTCCAGCCTCTGCATCTCCTTCAATCAGAGATATCAGCAGAAAACCCTCAAGCTCTCAGTTCTGACAATCCTGTGATGCCATTGTGAATTTCATGGATGACCTCGCACACATTGCTTTCATCATTACTGGGGACTTTCCAGAACCATCCTCTGGAAAATGACTGTACACCGTGGATAGGAGACTGCGTTCATGCCATAATTACCATGAAAAACTGCAAACGTTTCACAGAACTGCTAGCACAACCATTTTGATTAAATCTGCACTTCAGATGCTCCCGGCCTGGGTCCTCCTCTTGCAGGAGCTACACTCTCGAGAGGGCCTGAATTTAGGCCAAGGGCATATGTATGCAAAATTATTTTATTTTGATATGGGTTTTGTTGAAAGATTTAAAAATCTGATCCGGGTGACGTTTCATTCGAAAATTGAGCTCTTCCTTTTCTATTTTCCAAAAGCTATTATGTACCAGTTTGGTTTAATCAAGGAAGGAAGCAGGAAACCCTCGATTAAGAGAGAAGACTTACTTTTTCCTGCAGACAGACATGTTCTTTAATGCCACAAAACGCTGACAGACTGAGATAAATGCACTTGTAAAAACATTTGAAATCAAACCAAAAAACAGGTGGCTCAATCCTGGCTCCCAACCAAGAAATATACACAGAGGCACCAACAAATGTGCCATAATGAAAAAGTCAAGACCTGGGTGGATGAAACACTTCAGCCTGCCAGCAGGTCACCATCACAATGGAGTTATAGTACAACATACCAGAAATTGTACAGCCACACTACCCTCTAAAGGCCAACAAAGCCTAACGTTGAGTATTTCGGTTCAGCAGCCTGGCTCTGGGCTCAGCAAGGAAGACCTAAACATAGCCAAGTGTGGTAAAGTGTGAAATGGCAGAACTCACCTTTAACAAGACTGATAGAACTAGAAACCTCACAGATAAAGATTTCATCCAACAACAGCTTTACAAGATAAATACATTTTCCCTGGCTAATAGATCACTCAAAACTCCACCAACCATAGAATCCACAGTCACCTCATCTCTCAACATTTTCCACAGACATGTGGCTGAACAGAGTGAGAAAAATCCCAGTAACTGTACTTACTGGTAGCCACACTACCCTCTAGAGGCCAACAAAGTGAAATGTGCATACTGTAAATTAAAGCCAATTGAGGCAGCAAGAATAAGCTCTGCTTTTCCTGGTAATGCATCTTCTGTGCATTGTATATCTGATTTTCCCTATTCTGACTGAAAGTCAAGCTCTTCAGTCTTGATGGGAGCATTTAAGGTCATTTAGGTTCCCAAGAGTCTGAGACTTTCCAGGTTTTACCAGCAACTGGCTCTATTGAATGCCATGCAGTTTGAGCTATTCTGAGCAAATGGACGCTTGCAAAACTACATTAGTGTTAAGGCAAGTATTTTCTGTTCAACAGGCTATTTTTTCTTAAGTTTTGCTTGCATATTTCCTGGAAATCTGCTCAGAAAAGTCTGGAAATTCAAAAATATTTAGGACAAAGCAAAAGAAATGTAAAGGGAATGAGACTCATAACACACCTCTTTCCAGCTTGTGAAAGAAATGAGCCTGAAGTACGAGATTTAAGAACTGCAGAAAAAGCATCAGGGATCTTACCTTTCTTCCCTAGAGCAGACCCAGCAAAAACGCAGCCAGTGGAGGATTCTGCAAAGATACTGCAGGGAGTGACAGCAGGAAACAAGGAGTTAGAACAAACTGAAAATCCAAACCACTGCTTAAAACAGGCCCGACATGAACTGTAAAATAACATAAACAATCTTGAAACCAGGTTTTGAGTTATTGCGAGTTGTAAGCAGAGCCGTCAAGCTGGTGACGCCCCCACTCCCTCCCATCATACTATGATCTCTCCTCACTTCTTCCTGTACCCAAAATGACTGTACTCCTACACCACTACATACACGACAACTGAATGTAAGCCAAAATTGAACTTAAAACTGTACTAGTTGTAATATTTATTCATCACCGTACTATTTTTGCACTGTTCCCCAAATTACTTTTGCACTGTTTTTGTCCTGTTGTATACTTTTCTCTGTTTGCGTATTTGCAGTTTTTGATTACATTGTTATTATTACACTCTTATTGTTTGTGTTACTGTCTATTGTTTTGTCTTCTGTTCTATTTATATACTGTACCTGAGAGACTAATGAGAAACCTTTCACTACACTATGCACCCGTGGAAGTATAATGACAAAAAGTTTAACTGAATTGAATTCTATAAATGTCCCACCTCACAATCTTTGATACTGAATTTTGTCTTGTTATGCATTTTCCACCATTAAGACCAAACCAGTATCCTGGTTTTCAGAAGTGTTTTACAATGCTCTAACAATCACGACAACAACATCTGGCATTTTAGCATGGAGAGCAATGTACCTCAACTCACTACTCTGCCAACTGCTCTGGATTTATCTGCACTTTTCCCCAAACTGCCATCCAAAGCTCAGCCTCAACCCCCTGCATTTTCAAGGAAAAAAAGCCAAAATTCTTTCAATCTATCCATAACCAGGAAAATGATTCTAAAAGTAAAAAAGAGAAAAATGTCAAGTGCCTGCACCAAGATGCATATGATATGGCTGGAGGTGGCTTTCTCACATCTCTGTACTGCATACAGCCAAACCAGGGGTTAATCTACTGTACCCCTAAGGTATTCAGTCACCCCTTCCAAGATCTTCCTCCTCTGCCTTCCACACACTTTCCAGTTGCGAGAGTTTACTTGGGACACATCAGAATCCTGTGGAATTTAATCAGAAGGAGCTGGCCATTTGGTATGGAGCGAGGGATCCGGGGCAGGGCAAGTTCAATAACTGCAAAAGGGAAATGGCCACAATACTATCTAGCAACAAAGAGCGACTCAGCTTACATGATGCCATTGCCGTTTCCAAAGGCTTCCTCCTTTTTCTCCTGCATCGCTTGGATGTTGACGTACAGGTCTTTGATCTCTTTCCTGATTTGCCGAACAGCTGCGGTCGCCATGTCTTTTGCGAGCTAGGCAGAAGTTAAACAGAACAGTTAACTGACAATGCAGCGAAGGCACCAGCTGTGGATACGTTTTAATTTCTTTTATGCTGTGTGTGCTTTAATCTACATATCCAACATCCTGAAGTCTGCCAAGTCTAAAATACGGATTCCAAAAACAATTTAAAAACATGAAGGAGCAGGGTGTCATGTCTCACTTCAGTCCTCCCTTCAGCTCTAGACCAGGAGCAGACAATCCACATCTCGCAAGGCCAGTACCTCTGCTGGATTTCATTCCAGCTATGCTCTTCAGACCTAAACCAGCTGGTAACTGGTTTAACTACACCACATAACAGCCAGACTGATTTGCATCACCTTCTGTGTGCTAACCAGTGAAAAAATAATAAATTTGCCGATCTCAATATCCTTAACCTGACTTAAGAACAAGCACAATGCGTTCGTTTTATCCAAAGCGTTTTACAATTGTACCCGTTTCCACAACTGGACATTTCACTGGAGCAATTTGAGTGAAGCACCTCCTGCGTACAACAGCACCCTCCCCGGGGTATGAATCCATGTCCTTCCACATAAAACCTTTCCCACCTCTCCACACAGCTGCCTTAACAAAGGTGTACAATAAAAGGGAAGACATTTCTTTACAAAGCTGGTAACTGTATAATTATTGACACACAAAGCTTCACATTCAGCTTAAAAATAAAACAACCACAGTTCATAATTTCCAGGAAATGTTTGGGGTCAATGCCTTCTTAAATGTTGCTCGATCCTCCCTGATGGTACACATCGATGGATTAACACCGGTGTATTCACGCTAATTCAGGATTCCTGCTATTCCAAAACATCCCCACATGCATCTTACCATTGGAGCCCGTTTTACACTATCTGCACATGTAGCACTCGATGTGCCTATTTTGACTGTTTTCAAGGAGATTCAGGTTAGAGCTGTCAGGGCTCTTCTGGCTGGCAGATCAAACCTGTAGCATAGTGGACTCCTACCTTGTGGGGAAGCACACCGGCAACAAAGGCTCTTCCATAGATCTTGGTGATGCTTCCTCTCTCTATGAGGCTGGCAGGAGAGAGCTCTTTCACAGGGTTGGTTTTCACAATGACCTCTCCTCCACCCCTGGGATAGTAACCTCTACAGATAAAAAAGGGGATGCAGTCAGATGGCTTTGCTGCTTAAAGCCATTGTCTTATCACCTCCCTTCAAATTCAGTACTCTAGAGAGATCACAGAAGGCTACAATCCCAACTACACACAATGTTTCCATTTATTCAATTTCTAGTCTGTCTTTTCCGACAACACAGGCATCTTTCAGCCTGATGGGGCTTCATAGTACATTACTCCTCCTAACACTACTGCTCTTTCAGGATACTGGATGTTTATAGTCAAACGCAACACAAAATCAGAAAAAGATGTTTCTTTTTCCACATTTAACAAGCTAGAAACACAGCCGACTGTGCTAAAGTTAGATTATATACTGGTGACTAAGATTCTTTCATAACGTCAGCAACTCCCAAGCAAACAGGAATAACCCATTTTCTCTTGAATGTGGCCAATTTATTTTCCAAGTACAGCCAATTCACCTAGATTCACCCAGAGGCCCAACATGTTCCGTTTTTCTTTGAGAAGACCAGTTCTTTTCAAACTGCAGGACAGTGAAGGTATACGACTAGACCCCTATCCAGATTCTCTTCTAGCCCTGAATTTTTTTAGTGTTTTGTTTTACTACACTCATAATTCTGTAGTGGTGTCAGCTGAAGGAGCTCCTACCACAATGACCATGAGCCTGTAAATATTGCCTGTCTTAGGTTGCAAGAGGACCTCAATATAGTATGGTGTTCTGGAACCTTAATATTTTTACAACATTCAGAGATCAGGAATTCTTCACTTCTTATATTTGTGACCCTACAGCTCTCGTATTTCTCACTGTACTTAACACGAAAGGTACAGTACAGCATTTTCATAAACACAGTTAAATACATAACACTCACCTCATCTTTAATTCACAGTCAAATTTCACCCCAAATTTCTCCACCATGGGTCTGAACACCTAGAACACATTCATCTACAATCAGTCAGTCATTTTCCCACAATGCCATTGGCTTGTTCCTTGCACAGTCATTTATGTAGATCTTGACTCGTAACACTGTGTAGGATAGTGAACACTGAGAAACACACACATATTTCCCCACCTAATAACGTTCAGATATGGATGACCCCCCCCCACCAGCTGTGTGAGGCAATCTGGTGAATTAAATAAATATTGTGGAACTCCAAAAAACTGTTTATTGGAGCCTTGGAACTGAACCAAATTCATACCATGGGAAAACAAACATTACCATCACCACTGATCTTTTATGATCCATAATGGAAGACCCCGAAAAAAATCATGATTTCACAGACTGCATGAAAATTCTGACATTAGCCAAAAACCATAAAGCTAAGAATAAACTGTTACCTCATACAGATATACTTTAGGCATGAACTACTGTAAGCTTGACATAATAAGGTGGGCTTGTCAAAGGAAGGTAAAAAGGATGACCAAAGCAGTATTCATTAGGAACTTGCAGTTAACTGCTCTGTGCCTCCTGTAACATCAGCAACTGGATTCAGAGAAAGGCTGAAATCAAACCTAACACTGCAAGAGCAATTCTATAAAAAAAAAAAAATCGATGCTCTTGTTTACAAAGTCTACTAGAATTGTAGATTCACAGATCTCCCAGTCATCCGAGCGCATAGAGTCTTGTGCTGCATCCTGCTTGAAAAACGGAGCAGGACAACCAAGAACTACACAGGGTGGAAACTGAAGGAGTGATTCTGTCACCAGTGTAGCTAGGGTTGTGAAGATCTACACAAAGAAACCAAATTTCACAGTCAAGAGCCAAAACAGTTAATAAACCAACTGGCTATAGTGATTGATGAATCCAATGGAGACATCTGCCCTCTTAACATCCAAGTAGTATTTGTTAGATTTTTCCCACTCTGTCAATCCCAAATCTCAACATATGGGGAGGGTCAGTAAAAACTGGCTTATCATTAAAGTTTTTTTTATTTATTCATCAAGACTGTTCAACTCACAAGATTCTAGTTTTCACTGAGCACACCCATTTGTACTTTTGTTATTTAAGAATACCACGGTATACTGTTGAACTGTTTTTGTTAAGTAACACAAATACACTGCAATAAAATGGTTCTCAATGAAATACCATGAAAATCGCTGCAGCCAACTGTGCGACTACTGTGGATTTCATAACCACAGAACTTTTTCTCAGGAGACTCGGAACCCTATCCATAGGATATACTGTATGGCTACACAAGTATAATTCAACAAACAGTAATTAACAAACCTAAGAGAAGTCAAAATTAGAAAAACCTTGTGGGGCCCTTTTGATGGGGTACAGTGGGAAGGTGCACTGGATATGCTCAGGAAAGAATAGTCTTTGGACCTCACCATTGGCTCTCACCTCCCACACTGCTCTGACTCCTTGTCCAAATCTCAATATGGATTTCAAACGCCTGAAGGAAGGCACTCTTTAGTGGCCACACTTCTGAACATGTCACTATGAAATATGACAGTGCACTAAGACTCCCAAGATCCAGTCTTCCGCATACCTTCATGGTGTAGTCGATCTGGGGGGCCATCTCGGCATTGGTGCCTCCCTTCAGGCAGAGCTCGGAGGGGGCATCTGCAAACAGCACGCAGGGCAGGGACACCTGCAGCAGCAGCCCCACACTCCTGCAACAGACAACATGACAGAACTGTCAGCTACTCCTCCCATGCCCTAGGAGAGGCACGGCCAAAGACACCCGTCATCCCGGCTCGAATTCTTTGTGCTGTTTTCATGTCGACTCTGAACTGGAGCAGACAAAGTGAAGTCATACCTTATCTGACGCAGCATAAAACAAAAAAAACAACAAACATCTGCAATTTTGTTGAAAGCAGGTACTAGTGTTTTTATAGGAATGACATACACACAATCACCAAATAACCCAGGAAGAATAAATAAAGAAAAGAGAGACCAACCGCACTACACATTTGCATTAAAGGGGAAATGTTTAATTAAATTGGACCGAATGTTACTCATCTCAATCATTTGGTTATTCCTGGTGGAATTCTGAGGAAACAACCAGTAATGTCAATGCGCGTTCAAATCCAGCTCTTGACCGGGAGCCATTTATCCCTTCCAGCTTGGAAACAATTCACTGAACATGTCTCAAACTAAGCCATCTAAGAAACAAGGTTAACCTTGAGTTGACTGTAAAAGAGCTGCAGGACACTGTATAAAGCCTAATTATAAATAAAGCTTTCCATAACACTGTTGATTGCCTCCATTTACTCCCAGCACACTACCCTTTTCACAGCTGAAAAAGATTCCATGATCATTTTGATTTTTTGGAATTTCGCAAGGTTTTTCAAAAAGCAGTACTGACTTGCCAGCAATTCTCTGAGACAGCTATGGCTGGGCTAAAATTCTGTCTTCTACAGAGCTCAAAAGAAGTACAAACACTGCTGCTGATGTGATGCGTCTGCAGTAAAAAGCAGGTGCTGCTCGGATAGCAGTTTATTCTGAGGCTAAACGGGAGACCCTATTCCCCACAACGAGCTGTGGGTATCTGAACACGAAACTGCAGTACGGAGCTCAATCACTGTGAGCCACTGGACAAGAGAGAAGGACCTCCTCCTGTTAGAACTGAGGTGAAATTTCATTGTAAACCATTTAACAATTACAGTTGGTTGCAAAGACATGTCTAGCTCACTATACTTCAGTAAGTACTTTACTCCTGCCTATCAAGGCATCTTCTTCCCTAAAACACTTGACTCTCAGGCTTCTTACCCTGCTGTTTTTGTGTCGGCGACATGACTCCCTCCCTTGATCTTCCCTGAACTCAGCGCGACTTCTGTCGATCCAACGTCTGCCCCCTCCAGGTGTCCGCCACACAGGTCCCGCACCAGCTCTAGGCCGGACAGGTGCTGAGGCCTGGGGAGAGAAAGGGGGATTTCAAAAACCAAATAAAGAGGGCAAAACACTCACTGCCCAGCAGCCTTCCATACACACATTCTTCTCATTCTAAAACACGCTTCACTACTTTCATAAAAAACTGTATTAATTTAAAGATTTAAGTTCAGTATTGATTATTATCAGAAGCATTTCAATCTGGCTGGTAATTTTAATTTCTGCAGCGGAGAAGCACAGCAGCCCGGCCGTGAAACTCCCTGAAGAGCAGTTGGTTATCCTTTGTCTGGGACATCGGCCCTGGAAGCAGCACCACCCTGGCTGCACTTTGTGGCTCTCCTAAGTTTAAATCTGAAATTCGCTTTAAGGATGTTGAATGAAAAGTGAACTAAAACGCTCGTTATACAGCCATCTCGCAAGTATTCTACTATATTGCGTTTTTTCTGAATTTCGGAATTTGTTGATAATATACATTTTAAAGGATTCCGGAAAAAAAACAATGCAAGGCTACCACTTTATAGCAACAAATTCGAAAAGTTTTACTCGTTAAAAAACTGTAATGCTAAACAGCCGACTATGACTTGCTACTTTTTTTCTGTAATAGTTACCATGTGCGTGGTGTGCTGTAACAAAGGACGCTATGAAAAATTGATGAACACGGATGTTGCAGTGTGCAAAAACGATAAAAGAGTTTTATCGGCCTATAGGAACACATGTAAGGACAAAATACGACACTAGAATTCTCAAGGAAAGTTATTTCCTGGGATTAATCAACGCTTTGGTGAGATCTTAAACGGACGTCGCATTGATTCCAGGCTAAACTTTTATTAAAATATAACACAAAAAATAATGTTATTTTAAATCTGAACGCAAGATTAATCTAAACTACATGTATTAAAGCATTAAATGAACGGCTCCGACTAATAGGATGCGCTACCTTAGCCCCGGTGTACTCCTGCCAGCTCGGATTTTACTAATTGAGAGAGATGCACCCTGGACGCAGCTCAGCGCCGCGGATACTCTTAGTATCTGTCCTCCCTGGCAGACAGAAAACAAACACATACACGGATTAGCGTCAGGCTTTAAAACTAAAACACAGCGTCTGTGAAAAGTGATTCTTGTCACTTCCCGACGGGTACGTACCCCCTCCATGATACTGCCGTCAATTGCAAACGTTGTTGCGGCCATGTTGGCGCTGCAAAAGCGATCAGTTCGCAGCGATTGGCGATCCCGATACCCACTCAGTAAACGCTGCCCGGGGCAATCCGCAGCGCGCAGCCGGCGCGGCGGTAACAGTGGTGATACCGGCGTTTGCCTGCTTGCCTGCCTTTTTCAGCAGCTGAGTATAAACAATAACGCCGCCGTCCCACCGGGAACACGCACAGTCACTGCCGCTACCAGGCGGGCCGACTTACGACTCCCCCTCTCTTTTCAAGAAAGATACCGCACAAGCTTTTGTTTTTAAAATCGCGGCTTCATTTAACCGCAAGCCTTTTCACGTTACTTGCACGATTGTACTTAACTACAGAGCGTGGGAAGCTCACAGCACTGCGCCATAATCATTATCAGTACTCTCACCCCACTGGCTCGCCTAGCTGAATATTCGCTGCTCCTCCTCTGACGTCATACTCAACCAAGAACTTTTCCCTGGCCTTGCAGAGCAGCGGGGCAGGTGCAGAGAAAGCTTTATGAAAACAGTTTGACAGCTTTCGGTTTTACTTCAGAGTGACAGAAATAATCGGGGGGCTACAGTGGTTAAAAACAAAAACAATACCGATGACGTAGCCGAACCGTCTTGAAAGAATACACAGTTCTGCAGCAGTTCTGTGCAGATCTGCAAGAGTCTGCGCAACAGGATCATTTCTGCATTCCCAAAACTGCGGGCAGCTGACCAGAGAGGGGTGTAGGCTCAGCTGCAGTGCAGGCTGCTTCTTTATATTTAGTGTTCCTCGTTTGCGGTTTTTATTTTACAACAACATGCCTTCTTTAGCTTTCATTACCTCCTCGCTACATCCTCATCCTCAAAACTTGTTTGTTGCGTCTGGTAATAGGATTGTATTTTTAAGCATTAGAACCATTACTGTTATTGTATTAATTGGATTAATTGTACACTATTCTCGAGACGTCTCGTTCAGCAACCGGCGGAAAAATGGCTATTTCAGAATAAATAAAACCGGTGTAAAGTGTTTGAATATCAATTCAGGTATTGAATATCAATCGAAGATTTGACAATGAAGACAAATGAGCGTTCAATGCAAGTCAGAACGTTACTGAAAAGCACAGATCAGGAAAGGTTCAGAAATATCAAAGTCTTTGAATATCCCCGTGAGCATAGTCTACTCAATCATCAAGAGCTGAAAGAGGCATCATACTACCCAGATACTGCCTAGATCAGTGGTTCTTAATCTGGGGTGAACAGAACCCCCTGGGCATGCAAGACATGCCAGATTTTTTTAGAAGGTAAATCATTGAAAACACAAATTAAGCACAGACTAAGTAAACTACTTTGTTTCTTTAAACCCAGGTATTTTAAGGTAAACTAAAAAATGTGTTTCATTATCAGGTATGCTTAATTTGCTGCAGAATTAAAATAAATATATAATACTATATCTTTCATTTTATAGTCAAAACATATCTAAGGTTCAAACCAGTGATCAAATTTATTAATTTTTGATTAGGGGTGCAATAACACTTTTTGGGAACTAAAGGGTTGCAGGCTATGGTAAAGGTTAAGAATCACTAACTTAACAAAGCTGACCTCTATGGCAGAATGGAAATGCATTGAGTTTGCAACAAAGCACTTGCGTACTGGAAATGTACTGGAAGCATGAAGCAAAACATTTTGTGGTCACTTGGGGCCAAATTGAAACCTTTGTTCTAAATGCAGAACAACTGGCTGAAATTCAGTTCAGTGCATTACCCAGTCTACACCACCCCTACAGTCATTGTGCATGGTGACTAACATGGTGTTAAAGGAGAATGGCAGTCCATATTTCTCAGACTGGTTTTTAAATCTCACTAACAAACTTAATTTGACAAATTGTGAATTAAGCACAAAATCGTGAACTTTGTGAAAGTACTGTAAATTACCATTTTGTTGCAAACTTGCATTCAAGTTCCCATAAATTGTGAAGTGATGCGGCCCTTCCTACTAACTAGTCAACAAAATCACAAATATAATACGATGTAAGAGCGAATAAGTACAGGTTGTGCAGCAGACATTTATGCACAGAAACGTTCCACCATTATTTGCATTCACAGTTAACATGTAAGTAGTGTTTGTTGGCAAAACCATCTCAAAATCGAGAGCAATATTTCTATTGGATTAAAAGAGATGTATTTAAAAGTGTTATTCTTTACAATGTAATAAGACCACAATACATCACCGGAAGTTTTGTTACCTGAATCACAGAATATGGTAATGCGCATATCTGGAAATGTTGTCTATTTTGTGATGTTTATTGGAAGTTTACTATGTACATTTTACTTTTATTGTGGTTTGAAATGCGCTTATCAATGCTGATTCTTTCTAACTCTGAAATATAAAAATGGCATTGCAGTTCCCCTTTAATGGGCTGCTTCTCGTTAGTAGGTTTTTGTCAAGACTGAGGAGAAAATAGACGGAGTAAAATTTAGGCAAATCTTAGAAGAAAATCGAGTCCACTAACGACCTAAAAAACTGGAATAAAAGTTTCTGTTTCAGCAGGGCAATGATGCAGAGCACAAGGCCAAGCTATACTTAAGCAGCTTAAGAATCAGAACGTGAATGTTCTTGTCCGGCCTGAAGTCCTGTCTTGGATCCTATTGAAAACCTGTGGAAAGACTTGAAAACTGCTGTCCTTAAGTGATCCCCTAGCAACTTGAGACAGCTTGAGCAAATCTGCCAAGAAGAATAGGCATAAATAGAAAAAAGCGAATGTAAGAGGTTAGTTAGAAATTTACCAAAAATGACTTGTGGCTGTAATTGCTGCTAAAGGTGCTTCTCCAAATAATGTTGAGTTCATAGGTCTTAAGACTATCACAATCACAATATTTTTTTCTCTTTTCCTGATATTTAACATAACTTATCTTAACCCTGGACCTTTTCAGTTTCAGCATTCAGGTCTTGAATAAAATATTCAGTTTTAAAAAGGTGTCTTCAACATCAGGTAACATCACAATATAGAACACCACAGGAATGGTCTGCTTATCTGTGCAATGGACCGTTTATCTAACTGCCCTTTTCTGGATTGACTCCAGAGCAACAACATATTCTTTGATACATGATGACCAAAACTGCACAAAATATTCTAAATGAGGTCTTGCTAATGTGTTTTAAGATTTTGACATTTATTAAATAATCTACAGTGTTAACTATACATTTTTACATTCTGCCTTATTGATTGTTTCTCTCTAATGTCCAAAACTTGAAGGTGAAGTATCATCTTACATAAAAAACTTAAATCATAACAAAACAAGGGGTGTCACAAATGAGACAGGCCATTTTAAACTGACAAGTAATAGGTTTATTCCATGCTGAAAAAAAGAAGAAAGAGAACACAACGTTTCGGCCGTGGAGCCTTCTTTAGGTGTGAGAGAGACAGGGCAGTAGGCAAAGGTAAAGTAGCGGGAGAACAAAGGTTGGGAGGGAGGAGGAGTGAGAGGCGGGAGCAGGGGACAGAAAGAGAGGCCAGCTGGATCATTTTAAACTGATCCAGCTGATTCGGTACTTAGTAATTAAATGATCCCGGAATTTCATCCAACCATGTATTGAAAAGAAACCCAGGGTTTCAGCTTCAACAACATGGCTGGGCAGCGTGTTCCATATCCCATCAATCTTTTGTGTAAAAAAGTGCTTCCAGTTCTCAGATTTAAAAGACTTCCACTTGTGACCTCTAGCACAATTTTAACATGATATACTTCGATACTGTGAAAAAGTACTAAAAAAACATTTTATTTATTTTAACTGCCATTGCTACATTCTTTTCCATTTATTTATTGGTGTTTCTAATTTATAATATTTTTTTACCTGTTTTTTACCTTCTTTTTCTCTACTGCTTTCCTTTCAAAAGCTAAATATTTAATTTATAACAGGACAAGAAGGAAGCAGAACAAAAAGAATGAGCAAAAAACCTCTGATTTGTTATGGCATTTGGGGTACTGTTTTTAGCCTGTTTTTTAATAATAATAATTAATTAATAAGAATTGCTTATGTTTATATAGCGCTTTTCTGGACACTCCACTCAAAGCGCTTTACAGGTAATGGGGACTCCCCTCCACCACCACCAATGTGCAGCATCCACCTGGATGATGCGACGGCAGCCATAGTGTACCAGAACGCTCACCACACATCAGCTATCAGTGGGGAGGAGAGCAGAGTAATGAAGCCAATTCATAGATGGGGACTATTAGGAGGCCATGATTAGTAAGGGTCAATGGGAAATTTGGCAAGGACACCAGGGTTACACCCCTACTCTTTAAGAGAAACGCCCTGGGATTTTTAATGACCACAGAGAGTCAGGACCTCAGTTTTACATCTCATCCGAAGGACGGCACCTGTTTACAGTATAGTGTCCCCTCACTATACTGGGGCATTAGGACCCACATGGACCACAGGGTGAGTGCCCCCTGCTGGCCCCACTAACACCTCTTCCAGCAACAACCTTAGTTTTTCCCAGGAGGTCTCCCATCAAGGTCCTGACCAGGCTCACACCTGCTTAGCTTTAGTGGGTTGCAGGGTGATATGGCTGCTGGCTAAAATCAAATAGTTTCTTTTAAGATTCCTTGAGCGTGTATCTGTAATGTAATGTTTAACAGCCTTGGTTAAACCACAGTTTAACTTTTGAAAAATAGCTTTACACACTCTTGGGATAAATGTGTTCTGTGCTTCAAACAGAATCTGTTTAAACTGTTGCCATCTACTTACCACTGATTCAAAATCTATATGTGCCTTCTCATTCCTTCAAAATCTGCTTTCCTAACATTGTAATTTCTTTTATTGGGATTTAAGCTCTTTAGATTCAGTATATACTAAGAGCTACACCATATTATGATCACTGTTTCCAAACAGTTCTTTAAAAAAGGCTGGATAAGAATCTCAGATCAAATAACTGCTATGTATTTTACTCAGTACTGCTTTTATGCAAAAAAAAACATGTATATTCCAAATTTTTTAAAAACTTTTAAATTCGTAATGCGTGTCCTAAAATGTCCAAGCTAGTTTAAAGAAACATCAGAACATAGTAGAATCAGACGGATTTATGCTACTTGTCCTGAAATTATATTTGTGTACTAAGTACTGGCAAATTGCATGTCCAAACATTTTTATTTGCTCCCAATTGTCTTGTTTTATGTGTTTTCACTTCTATGTTTTTTACACTTTTCAGATTTTATTTTTTCGAAAGTTAAACTGCAGTTTAACCAAGGCTGTTAAACATCACATTACAGATTCAACACAGAAATATTAGAATCACAAAAGCCATCAATTTGTTAGTTTCACACGCCCTCCAGTGGACATTATTTTTAACACGAGAAACAAAGATTTCCTCGATTTAAAGGTTTTTCGAGGAAATTACATTTGATTTTGAATAAATTAGTGGGGACGTGACTCTAATAATGTATAGCATATAGCATTAAAAT